AGTTCCTAGGCAGGAGGCTGTAGTGCCCACTAGGGAGCCATGAAAAGTCCCCATTTCTCAAAGCCAACTTCTGTCTTCCTTCCCGAATCAAGCACAACTTGCAACTGTGATGACCTTTTAATCAAGTATATATTGAAAGGTCTGGAGGAAGGAGGGGACGGGAAAGAGCAGAATCAGGCCTTGTGCCTTGCTTGGGCATCTTGCCCCCTTGACCTGCAGAGGGGTGACAGGGCAGTGCCTGGGTCCTGTGGCCATATGGAGGCTCCCTGCATCTTTGGAGGGTCTCCTGAGTTACTCCTCCCTGCAGAGTAATGAGTTTTCTCTCCTCCTACTCCTGCATCTTGCAAATTCTGTGTCATCTGGTGACTGTCAGTGGCTTTCCTCTGCCCATTTTCTGCTGGCAGAGGGAGGCTTGAGTCCACTCTGAGGAGGGGTGAGGCTGGAGAGTGCTGGGGAGCAGGGAGTACAGAGGCTCCCACTGCAGTCTGGGGCTGATTTCTCTTGAACCATCAGCAATCAAATCCGCCTCACCACTGTGAGAATTAATTCCTTCTCAAGCTCCCCTTCAGATAGGTGAGAAATCCGTGTGCCTCCTATTAACATAATAGTGACCCCGTTTCTTGTGAAATGACAGCCCTGGTCTGATTATGCTCAGGGAGCATCCACAGTCTGTGTCCTGTGCTGCGTGATGAAAGCCTCCTCACATTAGCTGGCAAATGAACAGTCCCACGGTCCACACGGTCTCTGGAATCTGCAGACAATGGCCACGTTTTATCTCAGCCATAGGATGGGGTCAAGAAGTTCCAGTGTAGCCCACCACAGTTAGTTAAGTACATGCCCAGCGCATTTAAAATGAGGGGAGTAGGAGCTCTGCACAGGCATGGCTGGAAGAACAGTAGGCTTGGAGCTGGGGGACCTGGGCCCAGCCTGCCATTTGCTAACTGTGCTGTTGGGGTCAAATCCCTTCCTCACAAAGAGAGCAGAGGGCTGGTCCATTAGACCTGACGCTTGCTGATTCTAGGCTATTACTGAGTACAGCCTTAGAACCTGTAAACTGGGTTCCCATTTTCTGTGTTGGAGGAAGGGTCTAGAAAGCTCTCTAGAAGAGAGAGTTAAGAAGCCAAATCAGTGGTTGGATAAAGTCCTTCCCTCAAAATACGACACTGCAGAGGGCACCAGAAGAGCTCTCCTCCCTGGAGGCAAGGCAGTGGGCTGAGCTCAAAGCCTAGCCTGGCCATGTGCCTAGTTGGAGGCCTGTGGAAGGCATCTGGGACTGGGGATGAGACAGTGTGTCTGTTTCCTTGTTGAGTCACTCTTGCTCATCAAGTATCTATCGAGCACTTCTGATGACCAAGTGGCATGAGAGAGTGGAAAGAAGTCTATAGTCAGGGGAGCTCCACGTGCACCCAGCTTAATCACTAACTGGTGTGGGCCTGCACAGATGGCTCCTCACCCCAGCGATGTGGCCATGCACCCTACATGCTTCATCCTGCGAGGATGAACGAGGCAGTGTTCCTGACACAGAGTGGGACTCCCCCCATACCTGCCTCATTCCCTCTCTCTGTGTACACAGCAACATTTGAGACATCACAGAGGACATGAGGCCATTCAGAAAATGCCACTGTCTTTAAGCATGAACAGACCCATGGCAGGGCAGTTAGTGTGTGTCCAGAAATGCCATTGCTGCAGAGCAGGAAGTAACCAGGGCCCCACGGCCTGGGGACTCAGAGGAGTAAGAGGCCTGAGCAGAAAGAGTTTCATGGATGGTGCTGAGTTGAGCCTGGAGTGGCTTGGCACTTGAAGGTGAAGGAAGAAAGATCATTTCAGGGCAGAGAACAGTTTGGGTCAATGCATGGGTGCACAGAAGCTCAGAAAAGAAAGCAAACCTGTGTGGTGGAGTGTGTGCAGGTGAACACTCCATACAAGATGGTATTTCTGTGCAGGCACATTGAGGGAGGGGTGTTTGGGTCTCAATGTTTTGAGCACTGGGGAGCACAGATAGCATCTGGGGGTGCTAGCCTCAGCTCTCCACTTATGGTGCCGTATGTTGGGGTAACCTTTTCTTCCCCATTCTTTTCCAGAACTAGACACTGTTATTCAGTTCTCTGTTATTTTACTTTTCGTTAGCTCTTATGCAGTGCGGGAGCTGCACCCCCTTGGGGTTGGAATAGTTGTCCTCTTGTGACATTGTAAACCACCCATGCACCAGCCTTCCCACCTCCCTCTCTCTGTCTATTGTTCTCCGTAGTGCTTCTCTTCATCTCTGCACCATGTGTTTACTGCTTTCTGTTCCCCACATTAGAATCTCAGCTCTGTGAGGGTGGGGACCTCACTGCTGGGTTTGCTACTCTACCCAAAGCCCTTAGAGGACTGCAGCAACCAGTAGGCTTTTGCTGCATATCTGAAGAATCAGTGAGTGAATGGCAGTCGGATGGATGGCTCCTTGATCACCTGTCATGGGGAAGAATCACGTGGCAAAATGTCAAGTAATTCATCCAAGCCCAAATTCACATTCATTCAAGACCTTGCAATGCCCAAGGGTGGGTGGTAAATATTGTAGGATGCCCAGAGCTCCCAAGAAAATGATAAAAATGACCCTGAAGTTATGCTAAGGGCCACCCTGGCAGGCTGCCCCCTCCTGTGCCTCCTGATAATCATGCTTTGTTGTGGGGTGTTAACTGTCACGGTGATGGCAGGGCTGAACTGGACCTCTCACAAAGGGAGAGTGGGTTTTTCAGAGAGTCTAGGTTCAAATGAAGTCTTTTGAAATAAGATCGAGAAGGAGGATACTCTTTTCCCATGGTGTTGGTTGGTGTTAAGATGTGTTAGTCCGTTTGCACTGCTATCTGAGGCTGAGTAATTTATAAAGAAAAGAGGTTTATTTTTGCTCACAGTTCTTCAGTCTTTACCACATGGCACTGGCATCTGCTCCTGGTGAGGCCTTAGGAAGCTTCCAATCATGGTGGAAAGTGGAAGGGACCCAGTGTATCACATGGCAAGAGGAAGCAAGGGAGAGGAGGAGGTGCCAGGCTCCTTTAAATACACCAGCTCTTTCTTGAACTAACGGATTTAGAACACTCATTACCTCGAGGACAGCACCAAACCATTCATGAGGGAATCAACCCTGTGGTCCAAACGCTTCCCACTAGTCCCATCTCCTACAATGAGAATCACATTTCAACATGGGATTTGGAGGGGATGAACATCCAAACCATATCTATGTCAGTAACGTTTCCTGAACTTCAGTAAACACCAGAACTGATTGCTGTCCTCTGTTACTCAGGTCACTGTGGGACCGACCAGGGACTTTAAAAGGAGGGAGGATCCTGATGGAAAATGCAGCAGAACATCAATGCTTATGAATAGACATCCAATTTCCTCACCCACCAAGTGTGTGGGACCTCTCTGTAGATAGCTTTCCCCCTCACTCCTTGAGGCTGTGGGAGCCTCTGCTTGGTGTCCAGCCCCATGCTATGCCCTGAGGTGGTCTTGGAGGTCTTTTCTGCCAGGAGTTCACAGCTAGTTACGGAGGTAAGGCACAAACCAGGTGGAGACAGGTAGAGGAGCAGAATGGGGCAGCAGGAGAGTGTGGGGTCAGGGTGGGGAGGTCACAGAGGCTGACTCCTGAATGCAATTGCAGAGACTCGAGATTTACATCAAATTTCTAAAGCTTCTTCAGACTGTAAGCTTCTGCACAAGGTGAGGGGAGAATTCCAGGCAGAGAAAACAGCAAGTGGAAACGTGAAAAGGCAGTGTGTGTGCGCATATGTGTGTGCATGTGTGCCTGTGCATTGTGTGTGTGAGAGCACGTGTGCATGTGGGCCTGTGTGCACACTAGCATGTGTGTGTGTGTGTCCATGAGTGAACTGATGAAGTTTCTGGATAGTGACGTGAGGGAGGTGGGTAGGAGGAGGGAGGAGGTGAGAGGAGAAGGAGCTGGTGAGGGAGGTCAGGTCCAGGCTGTGAAGGCCTTGAATTTCCCTGGATGTGGCAGGAGGCCCATGAAGGGTTTAGGTAAGGGCTAGTGTGATCATTTCTATTTTAGAAAAACAATCCTGGCAGCTGGAGGCAGGGCACAGTGGCTCACGCCTGCAATCCCAGCACTTTGGGAGGCCGAGGTGGGCGGATCACCTGAGGTCAGGAGTTCAAGACCAGCCTGGCCAACATGGTGAAACCCCGTCTCTACTAAAAATACAAAAATTAGCTGGGCGTGGTGGTGGGAACCTGTAATCCCAGCTACTCAGGAAGCTGAGGCAGGAGAATTGCTTGAACCCAGGAGGCAGAGGTTGCAGTGAGCTGAGATCGCGCCATTGCACTCTAGCCTGGGAAACGGGAGCAAAAATAGTCTCAAAAAAAAAAAAAAAGAAAAAGAAAAGAGTAGATTATGAGGTGAGGCCAGAGGCAGGGCCACTCACTAGCAGGCTGTTGGAAGAAGCCAGAAGAGGGGGTAGCAGGAGCCCCACCAAGCCTGCGGCGCTAAGGATATGGACAGAGGATGGCTGGAATGGCTATGGCCTGGTGACCGATTGACTGGTGTGTGAGGAGAGGGCCTCTGGGGAGAAAAGAGTCCAGGGTCACTCCAGGGTATCTAGCCTGCTGGCAGGGAGGGACGAGTGGGGACCCTAACCAGGATGGGGCCCCTGGAGGAGACCTAGTCCCAGGGCGGGGTGGGGATGATTTGCAGCTCTGGGTGGATGGGAGAGAGAAGATCACTGCATGGTATTAGGTGTCCTGTTCTGGGCCTGACCCAGGTTTGCTTGGTAAAGCCTACTTCTGGGCTCTTTTCTCTACCCCTTTTCCTTTCTGCTTCCATTCCCTTCCTCCCTGGTATAGTTTCCCAGTCTCCTCCCTTCCCCTTGAGCAGCAATCTCAAGATAAACAGCTGGGGGAGAGGAGCTGTGGAAATGTCCAATCAGGGAAGGTTATTAATCCAGGATTCTAATTATGGTGTTGCCCTGTGTCTCTTGCATGGTAACAAGCCAGCCTCAACTGCTTAAGCTAAGAAAAAGCTCAGTGTTTCCTTCAAGCTGCATCGTGGACAGATTCCTGCCAGACCCTTCAGAGCAAGCACCCCACACCCCTAGCCCAGGGTCTGTTCCCTGATAGGGGGTGATCTGTCTGCCCCTCACTGTTTTCTCCAAATAGGTGAGTCTGGTGTGGCCAAGCACGAGATTGGCAGTGAAGTGCACATCAACACAGCAGCCCTGGCTTTCAGCAGCCAAGGTCAGCTGTTGAGCCAATGCATTTTATTTATCTGCCTAACTGCCACCATGACCTCTTCTGGGAGCCCTGGGCTGGGGCGGTGCCCTCACCTCTGGTGTGGAGGAAGAAGCCCTGCCCCAGGGGATCTTTCTTTGAGCAACTGTTCTGTGCACGGCTCTGGGCTCAGTGCTGAGGGCGCACCATGGATCAGACAGAGACTCACGGACCTCAGCCATTTCTTTGACATGAGGTTATTGCAGCTCAGAGGAGGGGCTGTTGACCTTGACCACATGTGTCTGTGTGAGTGGAGTGGGGAAGGTTCGGAAAGGTTGCTTCTTGTTATTGCTCATTTCTAAGTTGCTTCCAAAGCCCCCGTTGGGCTTCTCAGCTCTCTCAAGAAGAAGGCAGAAGAGAGTCAGAGAGAGATGGGACAATGGAAGCACAGGTTGGAGGGATGTGATTGCTGGCTTGAAGACGGAGGAAGGGCCATGAGCCAAGGAATTCAGGCGGCCTCAAGATGCTGAAAAAGGCAACAGAACAGATTCTCCCCTAGAGCCTCCAGAAGGAGCACAGCCCCGCCAACACCTCATTTTTAGTTCAATGAAACTCATTCAGACTTCCGATCTCCAGAACTGTAAGATACTAGGTTTGTGTTGTGTTCAGCCACTAAGTTTGTGGTACTTTGTTATAGCAGCAACTGGAATCTAATGTCAGGGGCCAGATTTCAAGATGCTGTAAGCCATGTCAAGAGGTTTGGATTTTGTTCTGTAGGGCTCAAGGCTTATCACTACTTAGGAGTCTGTGTATGTTAAGCATATAAGCTTAGATTATGAGGGTTTGAATACCACCTTGGCCAATAACCAGCTTTCTCAAAGCTGCAGCATTTTCAGCTCTAAAAGTGGGGAATCATGTTTCTCATCTCATTGGGCTAGCATAAGGATTAAATGAGATGATGCATGTAAGGTGTTTAGCCCAGTGTAAGCCAGAAAAGTGACTGTTACTTTTACTTGCTTGGCAACCTTAGGTGACCTAATGCCTCATTTGGTGGCTTTGCTCATGACATGTGCCCAGAGAAGGTATAGCAACCCCCCTCCAACCCCCTTACCCCCAGGAATAAGTGAATTTTGTTATATGATTGTATTAGTCTGTTTTCACACTGCTGGTAAAGACATACCCAAGACTGTGTATGTTTCCCCTTATAAAACCCTCAGATCTCATAAGACTTATTCACTACCACGAGAACAGTGTGGGTGAAACGGCCCTCATGATTCAATTATCTCCCACCGGGTCCCGCCCATAACATGTGGGAATTATGGGAGCTACAATTCAAGATGAGATTTGGGTGGGAACACAGCCAAACTATATCAATGATGAACTGGAAAATAATTGAAAGGTGTGCCCCTATTGGCCTGTCTGCCCACCTATGGGGGGAGCAGATGCCTGTTCACCCTGCTCACCTAACCCCTGCTTCCCTCAGCTCCCCACAGGCATGCCTGCATTCCTGTGCCCCTTATGGGCTATATTCATTTCTGGCCCCTGCACTATGCTCCAGGCATAAGCTATTTTAGTTACAAATTCCTTGAAATGCTACACCTTCCCTGCCCACCCGGACAGAGACCTCCCCAGGCCCAGCTGTCAAGTATCGATTTCCCCTTTAAATATTACTGCAGCCCAGGAGCATGTATGGATTAATTGACGAGGTTAGGCTTGTACCTGCACACTTCATTAACAGCTGCTACTAATTAGTGGAGTAGTCATTAAGAGACCTACTGGGGTTTTGAGGATAATAGTTTTATTTATTTTTTTCCATGACTCTTAAGCATACAATAAATTGGGGAGTGAAACGCCATGGGCCCAGGTTTGAATGGGAGTCACGGGGTAGCCTGTGCTCTGGATCTGCCCTAAGAACACAACAGAAACTAGGACATCACCACAGTGGGACTCAGAAGAGGCCCTTCAGATCATCTGGTCTACTATATGTGGCTACTGTGGCTGGGACTGGGACAGGGGCAGGGCCTCATTCTCAAGGTCACACAGGGACAGGGAAGCAGAGCTGGGATGAGCACCCAGGGCTGCTGGCCTTGCTGCTGGTCAGGGCTCTGTTTGCTAAATGGGGACTCTGCCGGATACATTTGGAGAGCCCAATGTGAGAGGAGAGACCAAGCTCATGGCCACGTTCTCTGCCTGCCCCAATCTTACCCTCTTTTCCCAAGAGAGTGTTGCCCTTCTTTTGCTGTTTCTGGGCATCCTCCCATCCCATCCACATCATTCCACCCTTCCCACTCCCACTGGAGTCCTGCTATACCTTGCTCCTGGAACCCCTTTCTCTGTCCTTAGCATCTCCAAATGGATTGGACTCTGCAAGCAAGCACTCTGCAGTGGACCCCTTGGGTCATCCATTCTGATGGAAACAGTGAGTGGAATTAATCCTAAGTCTGTGAATTTGGGCAGCTCATTGACTCTCTCAGCTTTAACTTCACTGGCTCAAGGTGAGGCTGAATGCACAGTAGTAAAGGGGACCAAGCATGGGGATGGCATGGAGAGAGTGGGTCCTCAGCAGATGGCAGTGCCTATGCCCCTGTGCTACTTAAGGAGGTGGTCTGTGAGCAAACCATTGTGCTCTCCTCAGGCTGACCTGGACCATTCACTGAGCACACATTGAGAGATTTTACAGGAAAGGAATAGAGCCTTGACTTATTATTTCCTTCTTGTTTACAGATGACAGTAATTCGCATCACTAACTTTCCCTGAAAGCTTACTACGTGTCAGGAAGTGCTGTTCTAAAAGGGCTTCACATGTATTCATTCATTTCATCCTCCTGACAATCCTGCGATACAGGTGTTTTTGTTATGAGTCCTATTTCAAAAAAGCAGCAGCAAATACAGCAAGTTGCCCATGGCTACGCAGCATGTCAGAGGTGGATACGAACCCGGCATTCTAGCTCACTGTCTAGACCTCTTAGAGAGGTCGATTTCCTGGCTAAGGGAAACCCCTGTTCCCCAGTGTGTGCTGTGTGGGTGACAGCTGTGTTGGTGCCACAGGTCTGTGTCGTCTGGACACCTGCTGATTTATCCAGGGTGGACACTTGAAGCAGAGACTGTCCACACTATAAAATTTGAGTGATCTAGCTCAAAAGTGCGGGCTGGGCCAATCTGAGTTCCATCTGGGTAAGGGTATAGAAGAAGCTAAGCCTGGAGGTGGGGAGAGTTGATAAGCTTGACTTAGGGGTGGAGACTCATCATGATAACCAGCTATGAGTGATAGGAGGAAGCCAGCTGGCTGAGAAAGGAGACAGAAAGGTAAATGAATGCCTGGAGAGAGACCTCAGTCCTGGAAGAGCAGCTTTCCCCAGCAGTCTCAGGGTGCTGGCTCCCATGGAGTCAGGCTGCTCCTGGCCTCCTGTTGAGGTATTCTGGTGAGGATGTGCTTTATGTCGAACTACAGATGCCCCTTGATTTGCGATGGGGCCATGTCCTAATAAACCCATGGTAAGATGAAAATACTGTAAGTCAAAAATGCACTTTTGGGCTGTGCACAGTGGCTCATGCCTGTAATCCCAGCACTTTGGGAGGCCGAGTCAGGCAGATCACTTGAGTCCACATGGCGAAGCCCCGTCTCTACAAAAAATACAAAAATTAGCTGGGTATGGTGGTGTATGCCTATAGTCCCAGCTACTCAGGAGGCTGAGGTGGGAGGATCGCTTGAACCCGGGAGGTGGAAGTTGCAGTGAGCCCAGACATGCCTCTGCACTTCAGCCTTGGTGACAAAGTGAAACCCTGTCTCAAAAAAAAAAAATGCACTTTTTATTTAAGATATTTTCGACTTTTGATGGGTTTATTGGGATGTAGACCCATTGTAAGTTCAGGAGAAGACTGAATGTGTATTGCTTTTGCACCATTGTAAAGTCAAAAAATCCCAAGTGGAACCATCATAAGTTGGGGACTGTCTATAATTTCTCTCTTTGAGTCTCTCTGGTTGAACTAGCAGCCTTTCTCTTCCTTAGAAACAGAAGAACTCCAATGTGAACAATTATCTTTTCAGCTCTATAGCATAGCACCAATGTGAGGTGGGGCTCAACCCCATCTATCAAGCAAAGCTGCAAAAGAACAATATCCTTTTTAAAAAATTTGTTTTAATTTTTTTTTTTTGAGACAGTGTCATCCAGGCTGGAGTGCAGTGGCATGATCTCAGCTCACTGCAACCTCTGCCTCCTGGGTTCAAGCGACTCTTGTGCCTCAGCCTTCTGAGTAGCTTGGACTATGGGCGTGTGCGACCCTGCCTGGCTGAATTTTGTATTTTTAGTAGAGATAGGGTTTTGCCATGTTGGCCAGGCTGGTCTGTAACTCCTGACCTCAAGCAATCTGTCTACCTTAGCTTCCCAAAGTGCTGGGATTACAGATGTGAGCCAGCAGACCCGGCCCACAATATTCTTAAATATAACTGGGATAGATGGGTAAAGTACTCTGGACACAGTGCCCAGCTGGACATAAACATCTGTACTAGTCAGGGTAAGGATAAGGTAAGTGGCTTATGGAGGATCGAAGTTTCTTTCTTTCTCACTGCACAGTTCTAAAATGAATGGCCTGGGTTGGCAGGGCAGCGCTGAGCCTCACAGCCATCCAGGGATTGGGGTCCTCTAAGCCACTGCCCCACCATCCCTGAGACCCTTGGTGTAATCTCAGTGTTGGAGCAGGGAGGTGCCATGCCTGGTTCTGCCACAGCTGGAAGAGAGCATGGAGGGGCACCTGATGTCCCAAGTCATCTCCACTCCCCTTCCGCTGGTGAGAACTTAGCACATGGTCTCACCTAGTTGCAAGGGAGCCTAGGAAGTATAGTCTTTATCAGGGTTGGCAAATGCTTTCTGTAAAGGGCTGGACTGGAAATAGTTTCAGCTTTGCAGGGCCATACACTCTACATTGCAAGTACTCAACTCTGCCCTTGTA